ACACCACACACACAAACACACACACATATACACACACACACACACATCACACACACACACACCACACACACATATACACACACATATATACACACACACACCACACACACACACCACACACACATATACACACACACACACCACACACACAAACACACACACATATACACACACACACACACACCACACACACACACACACACACCACACACACAAACACACACACATATACACACACACACATACATGCGCACACAGAGGAAACATTTAGCAACAACAGTGGCAGCATAGAGATTGTGAGGGGGCGTTCTGGATGGTTTTTAATACTCACTAGCCCAAGCCACTAATGGAAGACAACTGTGTCTTCCCAACTGAGCCAAGCAGACCACAAAAGGACAGGGAACATTCAGTTTATTGTTAGCGTTTGCCTTATCAACTGTGGGCATATGGGTCACGTCTATGTTGAGCATCTGGTTCGGACATTGACACTTTCTATAGCGGATGTGGGAGAGTAGCTTTTCCGCATCCTCATCTATACTGAGGTTCTTGATGTCCCTTAAGTTGTCAACTTTGATTTGTATGTTCTTCGAGGTTTCATCACATGACCTCACGTTTCCAACTACTCCGCCCAGTCAGACAGCCATTTCTTTGTCCTTGCTCCAATGGTTTGTAACTAATAAATGAAAGAAATGGAAAAAAAATGCCTTTATGATTTTATTTTTTCCCAGGGTTACTTAAGACAACGATGACTCTTTAATTCCTGGCATTTCCAGCACAGGCCTAGGGAGTTGTTAACTTTCACCTCACAACAAACTGGGATTAGAAAATGTATAGGGAGACTACCAGTGAGCATGATAGGCTTGAGGGCTTGTTTTGAGTGAGGACTTGGTGGAAAATCTATCCTCATATTTGAGTATTAAAACATTATATATCAGCAATTTGTTTCAAATGTCACCCACTTTAAGCAGCCAGCCCACAGTGACATATTAACGCGTAGAATTCCGCTTACTGTGTTTTCTGTACATTGTAACCGTGAATTTGTTCCATCAGTGACAAAAATAATAACATCTGTAGATATTCGTTTCCGCTTTATAGCCTTAATGTGTCCAAAGTTATGTAATAAAGAGACATGATAAAAGTGATTGGAGAATGCAGAATGACTTGAGTGCTAATGCAGTGAAAGCAATAAGGTCTCCCTCCCAAAGTGAATCAGTTCCAATACTTCCGACACTTGTCCATCAGCTGGACCGAACTATGTCCTTTTGAAGTTCTACACTACGCTCCTCCTCGGTTCACAACACTTTCAAGTTTAGAATGGTTCTGTGATTCTGAAATTGTACCCGACACGCTAGGATTCAAGTCACTAATGGACCAGAAAGAGCAGGGGTCTCATATCTAAACATTTAGAATCCTATATAAAACTTCCTTCAGTCCAAAAAAACATTATTTTCTGTTCTTGGTTACCAAACTCATTCTGTACTCATGTCCTCATGAACCCTCTCTATTACCTCATTAAAAACTCTAGCAAGTTAGTTCACCAAAATTTGTCCTGTAAATAATCTCCATTTGTGGACTTAAGTTGGTCCTGGCTTATCATTTCTAAAAGCATGCTGATCACTGAAGTTAAAATGACTGGCCTGTAGTTGCTGGACCACCTCTACACATTTTTTTTAAACAGAGCCAAACATCTATCAGTCCACAAAAACGCCTTTTAACTATAAAGTGATTTGGACTACCCTGTGACCATGAAAGGCACTTTTTTAAAATGCATGTTCTTCCTTGTTCAGTAACTATAATTCACTCTTTTTAGACTGTAAGATAAAGGAAAAGAATTGAGCCATTCAGCCCATCGAGTATGCTCCATCATTCAATTATGGCTGAAATGTTTCTCAACCCCATTCTCCTGCCTTCTGCCCATAACCTTCGATCCCCTTACTAATCAAGAATCTATCACTGTCTTAAAATATACTCAGTGACTTGACCTCCACAGCCTTCTGAGGCAATGAATTCCACAGATTCACCGTCTTCTGGCTGAAGAAATTCCTCCTGATCTCAGTTCTAAAGGGTCATCCCTTCACTCTGAGATCCTAGTCTGTCCTACTAGTGTCCACTCTATCCAGAGCTCTCAGCAATCTATAAGTTTCAGTTAGATCTCTCCTCATCCTTCTAAACTCCATCAAGTATAGATCCAAAGTCCTCAACTGCTCCTCATATGACAAGCCCTTCATCCTCGGGATCATCCTTGTAAACCTCCTCTGGAACACTCCAACACTAGCATATCCTTCCTCAGAAACGGGGCCCAAAACTGCTCACAATGTTCCAAATCCCAGCTGACCAAACCTTTATACATCATCAGCATTATATCTCTGCTCTTGTGTTCCAGCCCTCTTGAAATGGCTACTAAAATTGCATTTGCCTTTTTAACTACCAATAGGACATTATGGTGGCTCAGTGGTTAGCACTGCCACCTCACAGCACCAGGAACTTGGGTTCGATTTCAGCCTTGGGCAACTGTGTGGAGTTTGCACATTCTCCCTGCGTCTGCTGGATATCCTCCACGTGCCCCAGTTTCCTCCCACAGTCCAAAGATGTGCAGGTTAGGTGTATCAGTCATGGGAAATGCAGGGTTACAGGGATAGGTAGGAGAGTGGGTTTGGGGGGGAATGCTCTTCGGAGGGTCGGTGTGGACGCCTGCTTCCACACTATTATGATTCTATGAACTTGCATATTAACCTTGAGAGAATCCTGAAGTGGGACTCCTAGGTAACTTTGTTCTTCAGATTTTCAAAGCTTCCTTATTGCTACCTGTCCATCCACCTATCTTTGTGTCATCTGTAAATTTTTCTTCCACCTCTTTTACCTACTCAATGTACATTCTCTATCACAACCCGTTTCCTTTCTACAGATCTCCACTAATGGGACCAGAGTTTAAAAACAACCAAAGAACCACTTGCCCAAGCAAGTTAAGCATCCATTAGGAAATTCATCTATTGTAAATGATCCTCCATGAGCACATTTTTGGGATATGATTCAACAAGTGCTGAATTCCTGTTTTAGTGCTGCAGCCGTTTCAGGGTCAGCAGGCTATTGAATAATAGGAGACTATCACAAGCAAGTGAGCTCAATGGAAAGATACAGCATGGAAGGGGCCCTCATAGTCCATCATGCATGTGCCAATATAGTCACTCAGTGGCCATGCCAATGAGCTGGGATGACTAAACTGCAGTACAGAATGGTGAACCAGGTATGGTGATTATCCTGAGCCTAGGTGCTAGGGACAATCATAGAATCCCAAATAGCTTTTGTCTGACATTAGTTAACTCGGTGCAAAGCGAACCTCAGACCTTCTTGAGTCTGCACCAGCATATTACTTTGACATCCTTTATCTGCTTTAGAAGAGAAACCAACCAAGTAATTTCATTTTCTTTTGACCAGAAACAGAAATTATCTTGAAAACATATTTTTTTTACCAAGACTGTTGTTATAGAGAGAAACGGCTTTGGGACCCAGTGATTTATGGAAAATAAAGCATTCATGACTTCAACGCACTTGAGTTATGTGTCCCGTGGCATTTGATGGTTTATTTTTATAATTCACCATGCAGCCCTGTGCCCCCCTCTGTTCTTGCTTAAGGCCTTTAAAATTAATCATAAAGTCATCATTTTCTGATGAAGCATTAACAAATAAAAAGTTCGAACCCTATACTGAGGGATCACTGGTTAATTATGTGATTGTGAAACTCAGCCTTAAAACTTTTTAAAATACTTCTGTTGAAAATGAGACCATCCGGTTGCAGCTGGTAATCACTGGAAATTGCCATTCACTTTGTCTTTCTTTCTTGCTACCTACAAGGCAGTTTGAGACCATTATAACTGCAGGTGTTCTTGTGTTGCTGAGCTCTGTCAGTCACACATGGGTCAATAGAACAAGCACACACACCAGACCACTAAGAAAGTCTTAATTCCAACACCACTTCACAATTTCGCAGAAGCCCTTTATCTACAACTTATCATTTTTCCGAGAATTAAAAATAGCTAAAATGGATTGCTTGGCAATGCAGCTGAGAATTGTGTTGTGGTATTTTACTATGTTAAAGGCACTATTTAAATTAATTATATCAACATACGCTGATATTATTGTATCAGTAATAATA